AGGGACAGTGTGTGTAAGCAGGCGCGGGAGGAGCAGGAGTTGACGGGGGGCAGCCGGCGAGGAATAGATAAGCAAATAAATAAACTAGCGGGGCAAGGCGAGTCAAGGCGAACGCGCGAGACGGAGAAAGAGAAAGAGAGAAAGACGGAAAGAGTAGGGCCGGTGATTCTCGGGCGAACGCTCGTCGGCGGGGTCGACGGCCTGACACGGATGGTTGACGCCGTGGGGCCCGCCTCGTAACCGGCCTGGGAAGAAGAAGAAGAAGAAGAAGAAGAAGAAGAAGAAGAAGAAGAAGAAGAACGAGAAAAGGTAGATAAAGAGAGAAAAGAAAAGGGCCCACCACCGTGGAAGGCGCGTTTTCGCCCTCCGCGAAGACGATCGAGTACCCCCCGGCTCGACGATCGGCCCGGGTTATTTAGGTCTCTGGTTCCTGTCTGGATTATAGATGAAGACCGGAATACTGTTAAAGAGTGAGAAAAAGACAGAGGGAGAGGGTGAGAGGGACAAACCGAGATAGGGGGACAAAATGAAGCTAGATCGCATTCTAAAAAATTTAAACGAACGGCGCGAGCGAGCGAGCGTGCGTGCTCTTTGATCGATTCGGAGTGGATTTTCGGTGACATCGATAGCTCTTATCACCTTAGCTCTCTCCATTGAGTATAGCACACGGGTGTCGCCGAGTACACCACTACTACGACTACTCTACTACTTTCGTGCTTTCGTCTCGGCAGCTTCGTCCCCTTCCTCCTCCTCCTCTTTCTCCCGTAAAAGAGTGATCGATGGGCGACAGAAAGCGGCGAGCCAAGAGGGAAGGGGCGAGGAGGCGGGTGGCACGAAATTGGGGCGTTGCGTATTTATCGCTCCTATCTCGTCGCTATTTACCGTACCTGCGGCTTTTCGCCGTCGGCCCGTTTTATCGTTCGCCCATTTTATTTCTCCCCCCCCCCCCCCCCCCCCCGCCTCGTTCGAGCGCGCCGTTATACTTGTATATAACGCGACCGGATATTTTTTATTAGATTTCTTTCGTTTGCTCCCGGGGCCTGATCCGCCGTGTTTCCTCGGACGGCGATTTCATTCCGCCTTTGTGGTTCCGCCTTGTCCTTTCCTTCCTTCCCCCATTATTGAACTCGTCAGAGTTAATTAGTATTCCCGGCTGACATTTCATATTTATTCGTTGATTAACATTCCGCGCTCACTCGTTACACCGTAAACTACTTTCCGTCTCTACGCGGAGAGAGAGAGAAAGAGAGAAATCCTCTCGCCGGGAATATATAATATGCAAGAGTTTCTTACTTGTCATAAATTACATCTCTTTTATTAATTGTATACCGTGCAACTTTTCTTCGCTATTTCTTTTCCTCCTCTCTCTCTCTCTCTCTCTCTCTCTCTCTCTCTCTCTCTCTCTCTCTCTCTCTCTCTCTCTCTCTCTCTCTCTCTCTCTCTCTCTCTCTCTTCACCGCATATTTAATTGCGCATTCGGTCGGTGAACGCGAGGGGGAGAGCACTCGCTCTTCTTCGGAGCTCGAATATAAACGTCCCCCCTCTCCCAGCCTGGGCTGTGGAAAAATTCGACGCCAGAATACCGTGCCTCGTTTCGCCGTCGTCCTCGTTGCGTCGTCCCCCTGCAAATGCGAAGTGCTTCATTACGGCGGACCGGGCAATCATAAAAGCCGAATGCTCGATGAAGTGATAAAACTTAATTCGCCTGCACACGGCTGTTATACAAACAACGGCTCCATCGCGCCCGCCGCGTCCGTGTTTTTCGCGGGACACGCTCGTCTCACACCCGCGAGAGGGGGGAGAGGGAGGAGAGGTTTACGATTTTTGCGGGGTTTTACGGTTTATTTTTATCGGCGGCGTTATACCAGAGCTCGCGCGTCGACGATGACTACGACGACGACGACGACGACGGTTCTGTGTACAACACGAAAGGAAAGCCGTCTTCCCATCCTACCCGCCACACCGCGCGAAGCGAAAGAAGAACGTGCTCTTGCATTCAGTTGCTTTTTACAGTCGACTTTTATGAAACTCCTGCCGAAATCATCGTTCCCGGCCGGCCTCGCCGATAATCGCGGCAACGCGGTTGCGAACAGTTGCGAAAACATCACCGCGGTATCGGGATTAACTTCTCTCACTCGTGCGAGTGCGAACACGCGCACGAGAGAGTGAGAGTGAGATAGAGGGTGAAGGGGGGGGGAGAGAACGAGAGAGCTAATTATCGATCCGTCACCTCGTTATATCACTTCTCACGCGACAGACCGTCGTCTGAATTATTATTGCGTATCGTTTAAGGACTCGGAGCCGGTGTGTTTCTCCTTGTCGAACAGCTGTCACAAATAATCGTAAAGGTGGACTCAACAAGCCGTGCATAACGTCGCCGTCGCCCGTCGTCATTCATCACGCCATGATTTGCAGCGCGTAGCAATAACACGCGCCGGTTATTCGCGTCATTGTGGCCCCGTTAAGCGATAAGATGTCCCCGGGAGACGGGGGAGATTAATGATATGGATATAATCCAGAATATATGGATGAGTACAATGACGTTCGGAGTTGTTTTCTTTTTTTATATTCGTTACGCACGACAAGTGTCTGCGGACGGCGGGCGGAGGTCGACTTTTCCTTAATTAATACGTCGAGAGCGCGGTTTTCCGCTGGCGAACGAATTGTAAGTCCCCGGATGCGATTTGAATAATAAAATCTCTCTTGACGTTGTAAAGTTGACGTAAGTGCGCGCACGCGCACTTGGTTCAAATGTCAATATCGTCAATGGCAAAGCAGCAGCAACGAGTGCAACCCTGATCTCTATATATTGTATAAACCTCTCAGATTGTCCTCGGTGAAAGATCAATCTGAAAAACCCGTCAAAGAGACTTCGAATCGGTCGTTAGACTTGAGAGATCGAGAATTACGGTACATCTTCTGTCTACTTCAAAGCGTACGCTCTTCTCTTTCCGCGCATTCTTTGATATATCTTCGTCGACAAAGATATCTCTTACTGACGCGAGGATAATACGCGACGGAAAATCGCTCCGCGCACATCCTGCCGTCGATCGAGGAAGGCGGGAAACCTGTTGCGAGGCTCCTTTTGCAGGAACCTCTTCGGGGTCGCCTTTCGGCGGAAATGCAATGGTAACGACAGTCGAGAGGTCGACGGGCATCAGAAGGGGTGAGAGAAAGAGAGATAAAGAAGGAGGAGAGGAAGCTTGAACTGCATTCGATCGTCTTTCGAACCGGAAATGAGGCGATCAGGGTCGCGCATTTTTTTTTCGCGGGAACCGCGAGCTCGCGTTCCTCCTCGGGGCGGAAATACGCACTTTCTCGCCGACCCAGCCGGTTCGACTCCGCCCTTCGCGCCGCGACGACAACCCTCCATTGAATTTCATATCTCTGAACGAAGAGCAGTATTTTTTAATCGCTTTCAACCCCCCGGCGTGCCCCTCGAGCAGGTACTCCACTTGGAACATCTGTTGCTCAACCTGTATCGCCGCGGCTGCCGCGCCTTATACGCCGCGCAACCGATCCCTTTGCAACTTTTTCTGCCGCGAGAAAAGAAGAGACGGGAATAAGGAACGGAAAACCGGGGCGCGCGTTCGTGAGAGGGAGAGAGAGAGAGAGAGAGAGAGAGAGGGGAGGAGGGAGGGAGAGAGAAAGAGAGCGAACCCGGTCCGCGTTTTAGCGTATCGAGCGCGTCTCGAACGGGTCGCAATTACGCGCGCTACGTCTCGAGAGGTAGCTAACAATAATCTCTGCCGTTGTAACGAAGAAAATGCCCCTCCTCCCGAGGGGGGAGCGGGTAGCAAATGGAAAGCGTCTCGTTCTCGAGTCGTCGTTCCTGTTCCTCGATTTTGCATTGCTGCCTTGTTAACGTCTTCGAGCGAGCGAGCGAGCGAGCGAGCGAGCGAGCGAAATCGTGTCTCGTCTCTGCTCTTCCACGAGGCGGATCTTGAAAGGAACTGCACATCGCGCACGCACGCGGTGGGAGAATGCTCCAACGGCGACTCTCGTCGCGCTCTCGGCCAAATTAGAATACTCCTCGATATTGATCTGCCGCGCGTGTGCGATTTGCATAGCACGTAAAAAAAAGGAGCGAACGATAGGATGTGTTTCCCGTGAGCGAGCGAGCGAGCGAACGAGCGTGAAAATAGCGATCTGCTTATGAAAGCGCGCGCGCGCGCGATTAACCTCGTAAACTTTGGACTCTGTTGACCCGCGTAACCTTGATCTTCACGGTGCGCATGGGACGCACGTGTCTTCGTCGTCGACGACGTTTCTCGCATTTTGCATAACGCGAAGAACGTACGCGCACGCGATAGAGGGAGAGAGACCACGTCTCTCTCTGTCTGTCTCTGTCATGATGACCCGCGGCACGACGCCACCACGTGCCGGTCGCGGTGATGTCACTTCCGGTACGTGATTTCCTGGTACCGGACGGCCGTTAGCGGATGAGAGGAGTTAAGTGCCGGACACGGGAGTTCGTGCCTCCTCTGCGTGAGCGTCTCTCGCGTCTTCCGGAGCGGAAAAGATAATGAGTGCGCCGCGAACGCGATCGCGAGAGGGGAAAGAGCATGGCGGGCCGCGTCTTAACGTTGAATTTCATTCACGGCCTCGAGATCGGCACTCTATGCGTGACGACGCTTCCTCGCAAGTCCTCTCGCCACGTCGCGCTGATAAACCGGAAAATCGTAACTAATTATCGGACGCCTCATCTATTTTTGACGGAAGAAATAAGCGTTTGCGAGAGAGAGAGAGAGAGAGAGAGAGAGAGAGAGAGAGAGAGAGAGAGACAGAGAGAGAGAGAGAGAGAGAGAGAGAGAGAGAGAGAGAGAGAGAATCTTCTATCTACTTCCGTTGACGTTCGACTTTGGACGGCCTCGACTTGACACCGCCGTCACCAAGTTCATAACCGCTAACATTATCGGAATGAAGCATAAAGCAGCGTCACGTAACAGCTTAACAGCGTAACAGCGTGGCTTAACAGCTTTTTTTTGGATTTTTTTTAGCGAGTGCGTTGTCGGCGCGCGAGCAAACCATCAGAATCAATTGCATCCGGTCGGTGGAATCTGAAACGATCCGCCTTTCGGTTGCAGCGTGTGGCGAACCAGGCGCTTACCGTTTCGCCACAGCCGGCAGTAACGGTGGAGGGGCCGGTGTCTAAAATGTCTCCACCGACGAACGACGTGACCAACGGTGTGGTAGCGCCACCCAGCACCCTGGCGCCCCGGGTTCCACCGACCGCGAACCCGTCTCTGACCACCATTAACCCACCGACGCACAAGCGTACTCCGAAGGATTTCATCTTTGGCAAAGTGATCGGCGAGGGAAGCTTCTCCACCGTGAGTCTCTTGTTTTGTCTTGCACTCTTGAGTACATATAATCTACAGAGAAAGTCAATGAAACGAGCTAACGAGCTGCATCGTGAGTTCACATTCACTTGTCACTCGTTGGGCGATTGAAACTTTAGTCGAAGCAATGTTCAAAAGGAGCAATGAGAATCGGCGCGGCAGGAAACGTAACGCGTCAGTTACTACACGTCTCGATAGCCGATTCCGATAGCCGAGATTCCTATCGGCGCGAATTTTTTTATTATCTCGCAAGAGCGCGCGTGAAACGCAAGTCGTGTGAAAGTCTATGAAACAATGAGAGACTAAAACACCGTGTGTTCTTCCATCAGGTTTACCTTGCCAAGGACATCCACAGCAGCAAGGAGTACGCGATCAAGGTGTGCGACAAGCGTCACATAATCAAGGAGAAAAAGACCGAGTACGTGAAGCGCGAGAAGGAGGTGCTGAACATGCTCGCGGGCGCCAAGCACTCGTTCGTGCGTCTGTTCTGCACCTTCCAGGACATGGAGAGACTCTATTTCGTCCTGTCGTACGCTAAGAACGGCGAGCTCCTGCCCTATATCAACAAGGTGGGCTCCTTCGACATCGAGTGCACCAAGTTCTACTCGGCGGAGATCCTGCGTGGTCTCGAGTACCTGCACGGGCTCGGCATCATTCATCGGGATCTCAAGCCGGAGAACATCCTGCTGGACGAGAAGATGCACGTGCTCATCACCGACTTTGGCAGCGCAAAGATCCTCAAGGAGGACCCGGAGACGGTAATGACGCATCCTGCTTCGGACGACACAGAGCAGGAGCAAGAGCAATACTGCAGGGAACGCAGGGGCTCCTTCGTCGGTACCGCTCAGTACGTATCACCCGAGCTCCTGATCGAGAAGAGGGCGAGCAGGGCGTCCGATCTTTGGGCCCTGGGCTGCATCGTCTACCAAATGGTCGCCGGTCTGCCACCTTTCCGCTCCAGGAGCGAGTACATGATATTCCAGAAGATCCTGAAACTCGAGTACGAGATACCGGACGGTTTCTGCGAGCTGGCGAGATCTCTCGTCAGCCAGCTGCTGGTCCTGGAGCCATCGGGACGATTGGGCGCTCAGGACGAGCACGGCGCCGGTTATCCTAGCATCAGGGCGCATCCTTTCTTCGAGGGCGTCGACTTCGAGACCCTCCACGAGCAGACACCGCCACCGATTTATCCGTATCTACCTGGCACGTCGGAGCACGAGGAGCTTAGGTCGCAGTACAAGGTGCCAGATAATCTTGAACCCGGCCTCGACGATAAGCAGCTCACCAGACTCCTCGGGCTGGGCATCGGCGAAGACACTGACGACGACGACGACACCACTACCGAGACCGGCGCGGAGCAGCACGCCGCCAAGCCCGTCAGCAAAACCGCAGCCGTGGAGAACCCGAGGCGGCGGACCAACACCGACGGCAACATCGCCGATCTCACGCCGGAGGAAGTCAGGAAACGGCTGGAGTCGCAGCACGCGAGTCCCTGGCGCAAGATCGTCAAAGACAATCTCATAGTGAAGCAGGGTTTCGTCAACAAAAGAAAAGGCCTCTTCGCCAGGCGGAGAATGCTCCTGCTCACCACCGGACCACACTTATACTACGTCGAACCCATGAGCCAATCGCTCAAAGGCGAGATACCCTGGAGTCCCGAGCTGAGGGTAGAGCCGAAGAATTTCAAGATCTTCTTCGTCCATACGGTAAGCACTCTGCTTCTTATTGTTACTGTTGAATCATAGTAATAATCGAACACTCTCTCGCCATTTCCAAAATCATCGCTCACCTCGAGATTTCGCGAACTGTTTCTCCCATCATTTCCCTCTGACAATCGGTAGCAGTATGTGTAAATATCGGACTTGTGTGCGCTTACAGCCAAACAGGACATACTATCTCGAAGATCCCGAGGGATTCGCATTGGAATGGTGCAAAGCTATCGAGGAGATGCGAGTCCACTATTACGGCCTGCGAGAGACCGCCGCTTGAAGAGAGAGAGAGAGAGAGAGAGAGAGAGAGAGAGAGAGAGAGAGAGAGAGAGAGAGAGAGAGAGGGAGGAGGAGAGACAGAGAGAGAGAGAGAGAGGGAGAGAGAGAGAGAGAAGGAGGCGGCGAGCTCGAGTGATCCAACAGGCAGACAGACAGAACGTAACGAGCAACAATGGTAAAGTCCGCGAGTGGCAATCGCTACGTCCGTATCTGACGAGAGGAGACACGACGAAATCGATCGCTCGCCACCTTAGCCGATTATATAAAGTAGACTAGTAGAGCCTTGTCGCGTGCACGCCGGACGCGCGCACGCGTGCGCTGTACAGTTTAGGACAAATTCGTTAGGCAAATTCCCGCAGAAGGAGAGAAAGCCGCGAAACCTCCGTCGAAGTAATCATCGTCGTGCGATGACTTACCGTTACTTACGTTCGCTATTTATTTCACCGATCCTTTGGAATGAAGAGAGACAGAGAGAATCGCAATCGGGGTACGCGCGCGGATCGCACGACGCGCGCGCGCGCAGAAAAAGAGGGAAGAAAGGAAGACGGAGGATTAGAGAAATTTTTAGCCAAGGCTTCTTCGCGACGCCGCGTGTCGTACTCGCGCAGCGTCCGCTGCTGCTGCTGTTGCCGCCGTGTGACGTAACGCGCGTGTGCATATGTGTATGAGATCGAGGTCGCCTGGGGCAAAGGAAAATAAAGTCCGCGCACTCGTAAATTTCCATGTTTACAATTCTCGCAATACGATGCGTAATCGGGGCCATCTCCACAGTGCCGTCAAATCTTTTCTTTTTTTTTTCTTTCTTTTCTTTTTTCTTTCTTTTTCGCAAACTCATGAATCGGCTTCCAAAAAGAAATCGGCGACGACCGTGCCGATTCTCACATCTTTTAGAAAAAAAGGAGGGAAACGGAAGAAACGGGAGAGGGGAGAATGGAATGGAATGGAATGGAGGAGGTGCGATTGGTTCCCTCCCATCTCGAGCGCGGACACGACGACGTCGCACGCGGCGCTTAAATAGCACTTTTATTATTCTTAAGCATATAGTGAAATTCGTCGGGCGCAACAAATTGATGCCGGACGACATTTAGACGGAATTAATTAAAAGCCGAGCGGGCGACTTTCTTCTTAGCGCGCTAGTCGCCGCCGGTAACTTAGAAGTCAATTTATGTGTAGTAGCATCGAAATTAGCTAGGAAAGTAAAAACAAGGAGAAATCACGAAAAATGCAATGGAGGATAACGAGTCACTTTGCAGCTTTAAATGTAACGTTCGTTACGTCGCCTGGAAAGGATCCTCGGAACCTCACGACGTTCCGGGTGATCTTTGCTCTCTTCGTGGTACACACACACACACACACACACACACACACACACACACACACACACACACACACACCCCGCATACATCCACACAGTATTCCTCCTCGTCACGTCGTTCATTTGTCTCCTCCTCCTCCTGCCTCTCCCTTTCTCGTTCACCCTCATTCGTCTCGCCCTTCAACCTCCATCTTCTCGTGAATATTCTCTGTAAATATTATACATAGTGCGTTTCCACGAAGAGCAGGCTTCGTAGGAACACTAGTGTAACATAGTAGATACGTAAGTAGAAAATAAAAGGAAGTATCGTTGTCTTACCACGGCATTTTTTTCGCGCTTAAGTTCCACTCCGCTTCTCGTCTGGCCCTCGCGGACTCGAGCATGCGATCGGTGATGACTGTTAAAGGGGTGGCGGGATGTCGGAGGTGAGGAGCGGGTGTCGGTTGTTCTCGGACTCCTCCGACTTTCCGTGGCCGCACGTTCGTTTGTACAAAAGTAAGCGGTGGAGGAGAGAAACACAGAGAAATGATGCAAACGGGGCACGGGGGAAGACGTGCGTGCGCGCGCCTAAGAGAACGCGCGAACGACGGACTTGTTCGTGTTTCTTACCCCTCCCGTGTGAGAAAGACTACTACAGATATACACATATGCGAATATACGCCCGAAGAAGAACTCTAGATAGCAATATGTAGACTCGTTTCTTGTTTTTTCCTCTTTCTTTTTGTAAAATAGCTTTAAGAGGCGCTAGTAGAGATTTGTTTAGGTGCGTATGTCGATTGGTTAATTATCTCATAGTCTCTACTACTAGTGCGACTGTATCGGTATGATTTACTATTAGCATCTAGCGAAATTATTATGAATACTTATTCACTACTTCGCGTTATATTGCGCCCCGAGCCGGTCGATGTGTATTACCACTACGAGTATCCATTTCCTCACCCTTCGCCCCTGTATTACCTCATCCTTTGTCCTTCCTCTGACGAGCGTCCACTCACTTACCCCCGCCCCCTCTCGCGTGTATCTGTAATTTAATTGAACGGCCTCGCGCATCGTTTATTTATTCTTACCTCGTTATACTTGCCTCGAACTTATTTATTTTCGTTCTTCTCCTATATAATATATTATCGTGCGCGCGCGCGTGATGACTGTCACAGCGTTCGTATAGAGATTACAGACTAGTTACTACTCGCTACCGCCACACACTGCGACTATATATATTTACTATTTATATTATTATCTCGCTATTATACTATTAACTCTATTCCTACTATTACCTATTTACCATCACTATTACTATTATCGTCACCACTGCGCTGCATTGTTACTACGTTTTACTGCGTATATATATATATTATATATATATATTCTATATTACACGTCAACTATTGTCGTTAGAGCTAGCTGTTTTTAGGTAAAAGGAAGAAAAACGTTCCCTTGTAAATACGTACCGCGCCGACGCGTTCGAGGGAAATGTAAAGGAAGAGGAAAGAGACGTAGAGACATATCGAGACGTGACTCTATCGACGTGACATCGCGACCGAGCTGTATAAGTCCGATCCGTGTATAATAATACGTTTGTATGATAAACACGTGCGCAAATATATATATATATACATATATATATATATATATACACACATATATATATATATATACATACATATATACGCGGAAATATGTGAATAGTAGTTAGGGAAGAAACAATGTATAAACGTTCGTAGGTTACGTCGCGTTTAGGTTAATACGTTAAAGCTCTAAATCGGCACGGCTCGCTCGCGATTTTGCTCGATTTTCTCCTCACTTCAGGTCAACTCCTTTCTCTCTCTCTATCTCTCTCTTTCTCTCTCTCTCTCTCTCTCTCTCTCTCTTTCTCTCCATATATCTTTCTCATTCAATCTCTCTTTCTCTCGCTCTCTCGCACAATACAGACGTAAACAGGGTATTTGGGAAACAGCCGAGTGTCTGGTGGTCGCGTGCGCTGCGCCGCGAGGTTCGAAAAAATGGTGGTTCGTCTAGACGGATCGGCATTGTTCTCGCTGCCCAGTGGCTTTGTCAAAAAGACCGCTTTTGGCGGGCTGCGCACGGTGCGGGCGGACGGAAGATCGTCGAGCGAGCGGACACGGTCATCGGCTCTCGGCTAGGCCCCTCTATTTTTCTTTTTAGTGAGAACCGATCGCGAGAGAGAGACACACATACATATGTAACCCTAGTTAGTTAGAATTAGTTTGTTAGTCAGTTAGTCTGTTAGATAGAGTTAGTTTACCGTACGAGAGTCGCGTCTCGACTTAATTGAACGTAATCTTTCTACCGCGGACGAAGAAGCACGCGTATCGCTAAACTTCGGTTGGATGTAACCGCGCGCGCGCGCGCGGGAAGTCATGTATATTTTCGACTCTGATACATATGTGTGGATGTATATATATACACGAGTATATTTTTTTGAGAACGCGTGTAGAGATAAAGATAATATATTTCCGGAGTATGCGTGTGTGCGTGCGTGCGTGTATGTGTGTGTGTGTGTGTGTGTGTGTGTAAATATCGTACGTCAACGTTGTGCTTCTTCTACGGAGAGAGAGAGAGAGAGAGAGAGAGAGAGAGAGAGAGAGAGGGGAAAGAGAGAGAGAGAGAGAGTGAGTAAGTGAGTGAGTGAATACGTGCTCGATATAATCCGATCGCCGATCTCGTTATCCCACACACAAACTTAACATCTCCCTTTGCACACACATACATGTACACACATCCAAGTTTCTCTTTCCGTTTTTCTCGCCCTGTTCCTTCCCGCGCATTCCTTCCTACACACGAGATAAGGTGAACGGAGGAGACCGCGCGTCGTTTCCATCGCGGCGAACTTTGCAGGTCCTACGTTTTATGCAGGCGTTGCAAACTTTCGGATGGGAACCGACGCGCTGCTTTACGAGAGGAACGACGCATGATTCTCCGAGATGGGCGAAGGGACCGTCGACGAGCGCTTCCACGCGCGCTCGTCGAGCATCGATCCCTGAGATTCCTGGCCGCCCTTCTCGGACTCTGCTGCGTCGGCCTCTCGTGGTGTATCATATTAAGATAGGTCGATTCGATACGTGCGCGCGCGCGCCTCCTCGTTCGGAGGCGCCGTGAGGCGAAGACGTACGTTTACTAAGAAGCGATAGTTTAATTTAACGTAGGATTATAGGAAGTATGTCGACCGGGGGAGACGTATACTTAAAGAAAAAGAGCAAAACAAGAAATGAAATCGGAACTCACACGCCCGTCGCAGACGAGATATTCCCTTTGCGGATCTGCGGCTGGACACGCAAGCAATAACAGCAAGGCCTTGCGCGAATATACTGATGCCTACTGTTTCGATACAGAGCAGAAACGCTTCAACTATTAATTGCAGTATTATTAAATGTATACAGATTAAGTATAACGTACACAACACACACGCGCGCACACAGCCACACACACGTACACATACATACACACACGTATAGATATAAATACGCAACATACGCAACTGATGAGAAGACTTTGTAAATAGTTAGAATGTAATTGATATTATAGGCGCCAAGATCTATTAATGATAAACATCAAATTTATTTATAGTAAATTTTCCGAAATATCACATAAACTTGCATTTCTCGATTTATTCTGCCACTCTTACCTGTACCGATTGATTCCCTCGAGCAACATTTACGTCGTCTGCCATGGCAGAAAGACATTCGGAGGAAGACTCTCGGAGGAGATAATTCACACATGTATCTCGTCCTCTATTTATGCGCTTGGTTTCGCTGCTCCGAATTTTTCGATCTTTGGACTCGTTGCGCGTTCGCTTTTTCCTCGAGGATTACAAAGGATCTTTTTCAAGGAGTCTCGCGCGTTTACAAAACGATAATTTTATTTCTCACGAATAGTTTGTCAATACTGTACGACACGAGTGCTGCGGCGGCTACATGTTGACGTGCGTTAACAAATGCTTCTTCAGCAGTGGCATGTTTTTCAGCCGCGTCGCACACCTGTGACACTTGAGCTCCGTGACCAGGTGGTCTTTGCTTTCCTCGACGGGAATTCTTCGGATCTCACCTGTCTCGCGCAATTGACGGCATGTGTCTAAAATTCAATTTGTCCGTATATATATTTGTATCCGTATTGTATGCGTATAGACAACGGAGCTATCGTATAATATTCTAAGAGTACTCGTACGAACATATATCGCACGAATGTGTGTACGTGTGTGCGTGTGTTTGTCAATTCAAACCTGAGGAAGGTAAGAAGAACGGTGTCGTGAACGAGTTCCAGTGGTGCTTTGTTTTCAAGCAAGGACTGACAAAGTCCGTGCTTATCACGTGCAGGTGAAGCCTTTGCATACTTGGCATCGCGTGATAGCCGATGCTGCAAGAATTCGTAATTGATGTACCACTATCCAGTGAGGTAGAAAAATAGAGAGATAGAAAGAATGTTCTATCTGCGCTTGAGAATCGACGGAGGGGACGAGCAGTTCCCGAACTAGCACCAGTTGCTGAAAGATATCTTAAAGACGTCTAAACGGCGTCCCGCACTTTTTCCCACACGGCTTTTAGACTTCTTTTCGAAATTCGTACCGTCCGGGCTGTCGCTTCTCACGACATTTGGCGCCGAAGTTTCGCAAGACACTCGCCTGCCATTAGAAACGCGAGAGACTTCGATTCAAAGTTCCAGTCTCCGCGATATACGCCGAAATTCGACGAGGACGGTAAAAGTACGACGAGAAAGAAAATAAAATCCGAATTTCATAATGCTGCGAAGTCCCACGTGTCTCCGTCGATTCTGGGATGAGTCTGCGTGTTTGACTTTGAATCGCGTTGCTGCTAAAGAACTGCTTCGCCGTTATTACCGTTATCGCTGTATTATTGCTGTCACGCTTACAATCCGACTCACATGAACTCGTGCTCCGCGTGTTTTTCCGTGAGACCTTGAGCAATATCGTGCATGTGCATCAGCAAATCGTAATGCTTCCTCTTGACGTGCCATATAGAATGGATATCCTCCTTCGGTAAGACCAAATAGTGAAATTGTGCCTTAGGATACTTATCTTTAATGACGACCGTTTTATCGTCTTCCGCGACCTTGCTCTCGGGATCCTCCATCGACGTGAGCAGACCAGCGGACCAATGTTTCTTGGCACTAGTCGACTTGCTCGCTGTTGATTCCATCTTGCGTTTCATAACTGCGGCCGCTATTAGTCACAGCCTGCCCAAATTACTGCCAAGTATCATGAAGAGTCTAAGTTTAAAGTAAATATCATACATCTATTTTATATCCTTTTTACAGAAGAATATGAGAATTGAGACAGATGAGTGAGCGACGTTAACTTTGTGTAATAATCATATTTCCGTACAAATTGCTCACTGATAAATTCTCCGAATGTCATGGATACGCGCAATTATCATAGTTCACTAGTGTATAATAACGTCGAAATCGATATCATCGCGAGTAATATCGTGCAAATAACTCGCCGAGGCGAACTGAAAATTTATACATGTCGCCAAAAGAAAAACAGCGAGCACTTGCTTCGCTCGTCCATTTGTTCAGAAAATCATTCATAGCTGTCATACCTGACAGTTTGAGGGTTGGCGGATGGTTGGCGGCATGGTTCACCGTGGCACCGACGAGGCACTAATAAAGACCGTTGGTCTTACGGGATTTAGAATACCAGAGAAATCTCGCTGAGCGCTACGCCCTCTTCAACATATCGTGGCTGGAATATGAAGCTGTAGCTCGAAATAAATAGTGTCAGCAGAGAGATTCATGAAAGCGGCCAACACGGCATTTTCTGCGACATCGACTTTCCGCACTGGGAAACGACGCCATCTGCATCCATTTTGAGAGGGGAACTACGATGCTACATCCACTTTCAGGTCTCGGTGATAAAATCTGCATGTGGTGGAAGTCCGTGCTACATTCACTTTCAGGCGGTTTATGTCCGTGCTGCAACCACAGTTGCCATCCCTATGCCAGACTATAATGCCCGGAGGTCTAAAAAGAGCGGCGGGAGAAGGACGGGGGGAGGAGCAGGAAAAATAAAAGTAGGCATTAAATATTAAATCTTCCGAATACATGTTGCCGTATCAAAGTCTCCTGTATAATAAACGATTTGACACGTCTGGAGACGCATGACATGATGTATCGCTGCCCGCGATACGTCCCATTCCCTTCGTCCTGTTTCACGCATTCAGCATCCCGTCCGCTCCGAACATTCGCTCGTGGCACTGACAGTGGCCGTCGGTGAGCATTCGATCCGCTCGGAGGAGCACGTGTTAATTAACGCGACGAGACTCCGATTATAAATATCCCGCGAGTCGACGAAATATCTGAACTTTTAAAAGAAGCATCAAAGAAAATCACGTTGATGTTGTCATGGGTGAGAAATCTCTCCTGGTATATATTTTTTTATTTTCAAAATAAAAAAAGCCAAACGAATGCAATTAAATGTTATTTATCATCATTGAATATTAGATGAAAAGTAGAAGAGTTATTGTCCGCAGCGGATAATCTAACAAAAAAAATAAGAACGAGACAAAATTCGCATGGGATGAAATTCCACTCTTTAACGCTACCATGACCTTTAATTATTCCGGAAACTCCGGAATACTCCGGAAACGGCGTCACAACAACTTTGACACTGTACAATTTGTTGCTAACACATTTTCTAATCGTACACATTTCTCTCTAATTAACATAAAGCTAACAAATGTCTGATGCTCCGACAGAGTAATTTTCCTTATTTTCAGTAATCAATAAATAGTAAATCAATGTCGCGTACAGTTGAAAGGCCTCCTCGCATTCCCCTCGTCGTTCGGGAACCTTCGAGAAAAGAAGAGACGCCCAAGGGCAAGTCTCTCTTGCTTCAACCGCCGCCGAGGCCCGCAATGTTTACATCGCGCCGATTGTGTTGATTGGCTCGCGAGCGACAACACTTTTTGCCCTTCGTATTATTCTCGCGCGCCTCGCGTACTCAACCTCATTCAATCAGCAGCAGCCGTGCGCGACGAGCTCGTCACTTCCGTCTCGTGTAATTAAAAGAAATGTATCTCGTCGGCCCTCGAGATACTCAATCGGCATCACGTTGATTAACCGCACGGTCGAATCGCGAATATCGGCATTAGAAGCGAGAGTAATCCGAAGGATTCCAGCAGCCGGGAAGCAGGACGTTGACAGCGATACGTCACGTTCCCAGGTATGTGGAATCATTTGTTATGCGGGAGGTCTCCGATAACGAGAGAGAACGTTTGACGAATTTTCCGGGAATAAGAAGTCGGAATTTCGCGCTCGGCATTCACGATCCGTCATCATCCGACTAGTAATCATGACTTCACGAGTCTGCAATTACTCTCGTTAATCTCTGTCTGTCTATCTATTTATTGCGTTGTTGTATACAAGAGATATTGATCCAGACAGAGACGGATAACGGTCCATGAACGCGGATCTCTAATTCATCGTGTTCTCAATCAAACATTCTGAATAATTCCCAACTGTGTGAGTATACCGGTCACCGACGGTCTTGGGTAGAATATTCAACGTCTCATATCGCTTCTTAGACTGCGACCTTTTTTGTTTTCGGTCAGCGCTGTTTACTCTCTTTATGGGATCTACATTTAAATGTCCATTCGTAAAAGAGTATTTTCGAGAGCACACAACTGTTGTCTCCGCTTCTTGTCGTCATTTTTTCTCGTCAACTCTTTCAAAAGCTCCAAGTCCTATCTAGACTTTCAATGTCAATGAAGAAAAAAAACCGTAGTGAATATTTTCCACCCATCCCAACCAAATATTCTTTCTCTAACGCAGCTTACCAACCGGAAACGCTAAATTTTTGTTCCAGACGTTGCGGGAAGCAAGTCCGGCGAACGCGGATGCCGGAGGATCTAGTTCGGGCACAGCAGGGTCGGCCGGAAGGTAAAGTTTACAAGTTTCCTACGCATCTGTGTTCAACCCTTTACGATCTTTGCCTTTGTAACTTACTCCTCATCGTTGAAACCTTCAAGTCTCATTTAAATTTTCAATGTTGAAACGAAAATATAAAGATAAAAATGCCTTATCAAAATATTTCCGTATTTTCGATTCGTCCCGATCAAAGATATTCTCTCTCTACCGCAGGTTATTAATCGAGAAAATTATTTTTCTGTTTCAGTTGTTGCGGAAAGCAACAGCAATCCAACGGACGCGGATGGCGCATCGGAGGATCCGATTCGGGCCAAGCAGAGTCGGCTTGAAGGTAAGTTTACAAGTTTACTATAGTCCTCTGTTTGACCCTTGGCGATCCAGAGCTGGGATATAATTTCCGGCTCGACTTGAATTATGATCGCAGAGGATAAACTATTCTTTTACTCGCCCGCACTTGTTGGTCAAATCTGATGAGCGAATGTGAACTTTTTGTTACAGAGTTGAAGCGGAACGTGGCTGGCTCTGACTGCAAGTCGTTTCGGTGAGTAAATATAAAATGAAAAGAGAAAGAAAATTCCGCATGATGGATGTGGGACTAGATAAAATATCGTTCGAGTCAATGCGAATTGCAAATAGATTCTTGCATGATGTTAGGATTTTGCATGTGTGTGTTTGTGACGTTGAATAAAATACATTGCTCGAAACAATCAGGGGATTACTTGATCGATAGCCTGCATTACATACGAGATTTAAAATACCGAATGATTCTCTTTTGACGTTCAGTCATCTGAATAAGAGATATTCATATCTACAAAGGCGATACCGTCATCAGCTGCTTTATTTTCATTATTCAAGCGGGCCGCAGAATTATTTAACGACAATTATTTGACAATATTCAATTGTCCGTGTAAAATATATTCATCCACATAAATGCCGATACCGTTGGCTACTTTTCTTTTATTTCCTAAACAGGCTATAGAATTATTTGGTAATATTGTCCATTCATCACGATCCCTATTGTCTCGAGTAGCGTATAATGCGCGCAGAGATTGTGCCAGCGCACGCCGAGCTTGAGGTATCCTCGCTCGCGTGCCTTTGAATATCGCAACCGCGGTTATCAATATACGCGTTTTTATCCGCGCTGCTAAGAAAGAAAGTTTAAATTTTCATTTCGCCAAAATATCGCAAACGTAAGCTTCGTCGTGACGGAACTATCATGCGTGAAAACTTTGCCCCACTCTCTCTCTCTCTCTCTCTCTCTCGGGGTGACCGGTTTCTGATTGTCTAATCTTTCCTCGCGTGCATTCGCGAATATTTCACTCGTAGATATCGATATTCCCGCATTTTCGCGACTTTTCAGATGCGATCACGAAAAGCGCCGTAAAAATCCGTTGGTCGAGTCGATAAATTTTCACACGATTCTTGCTCCTCGCCGATCGAGTTTATAGAGTCCGTTTCGTAGAACGTAAAAAGTTTCCACCGATGTCGACGTAAAACATCCGTTAATTAACGTAAATATCGCCGCTCTAATACAAGTATCGACCGCGTCGCGGAAGTGTGGCGAAAGTGTAGCAATCAACGTGGGACACGCTGCAAGATGGATGCTGCGCGACATGGAGAGAAGCAGCGGACATGGGCGGACATTGGTGGATCTGGTTGGATGCAACGGGACATCATCAATATCATCATCGGTGAGCGTTTGACTCAATGCTCGCAAAGAGCTCTTTTATTATTACATTGTGCATGCCGCAAATTTGCATTGACTTTTGTGACGAAAAATATATTCCATGAATTATTACCATATATTATTGCCATATATTATTGCCATATATTGTTGCCATATATTGTTGCCATATATTTTTGCCATATATTGTTGCCGTATATTTTCGCCATATATTATTGCCATGTATTATCGCCATATATTATGGCCACTTGAAATCGCGCGAGCCATCGAGAAAACTGTAAATTTGCCGATAATCGCAAAGGCGCACGGCAGAAGTCACGGACGGATGCCAGCAGCCCATCTCAGGGCTACCCGATAACAATGCTGTTGCTGCAATTTAACTTTAAACCGGCCTCCGCTCGCAGGAAACTTTCTGTCGCGGACTAACCCCTCGAGCGGAATGTTCCCGAGAAGCGTTCTTGACATAATCGCTGGTTATAAGCGAACTTGCTTCGTTAGGGCCTCGTCGCGGTATCGTTGTCGCGGAAAATAAGGAAGAAAGGAGTTAAATATCCGCACCGTTGTGAAAAGAGGGGCGATGGCGTCCCTTCGCGAGTAGAATCTTTGGCCCTTGCGAACGCGAACGTTAAATTCCATCGCGGCTGCGAATGTCCCACGACTAGTTTCCTCGCGGAAATTGAAACTTCATAATTCGCGCTTGATCGTGCGTTGAGACTCTATCGAGGGTGGGAAATTGAAGCGGACGTTGATGATACAAGTGTGATAAAGCAGTCGCGCATTTTATGATCGCTCTTTAAAATAGGCGCTTCTTTTGTCGGTAACAAAGGCGAGAAGAAATCAAAGCCTGCCGCCGGTTAGATCGTAAAAACCGCATGGATTTTCCTTCAGCAGCTGATCCCGCAACCGTTTAATCCGCATTATGATCATTTTTCCGGAAAAGTATGAAGAAAGTGACATCCACGGATAACCTTCGTCCCCTGAATGATACGTTTGTGCAACTTTGCATTTCGTTTGTACCTCGACCGGTTCCGAAATACAGCAATTTTCAGTTTCTGTCATATAACGC